AACAAGAACAAGAACAACAACAACAACAACAACAACAACAACAACAACAACAACAACAACAACAACAACAACAACAACAACAACAACAACAACAAGAACAAGAAAAACAACAAGAACAACAACAACAACAACAACAACAACAAGAACAATAACAACAACAACAACAACAACAACAACAACAACAACAACAACAACAACAACAACAACAACAACAACAACAATCAACAACAATCAACAGACAACAACAACAACAACAACAACAACAACAACAACAACAACAACAACAACAACAACAACAACAACAACAACAACAACAACAACAACAACAACAACAACAACAACAGTCATCAGACAGCAACAACAACAACAACAACAACAACAACAACAACAACAACAACAACAACAACAACAACAACAACAACAACAACAACAACAACAACAACTACATCAACAACAACAACAACAACAACAACAACAACAACAACAACAACAACAACAACAACAACAACAACAACAACAACAACAACAACAAGAACAAGAACAAGACCAAGAACAAGAACAAGAACAAGAACAAGAACAAGAACAAGAACAAGAACAAGAACAAGAACAAGAACAAGAACATGAACAAGAACAAGAACAAGAACAAGAACAAGAACAAGAACAAGAACAAGAACAAGAACAAGAACAAGAACAAGAACAAGAACAATAAAAAGAACAAGAACAAGAACAAGAACAAGAACAAGAACAAGAACAAGAACAAGAACAAGAACAAGAACAAGAACAAGAACAAGCAACAAGCAACAAGCAACAAGCACAAGACAAGACAAGACAAGACAAGAACAAGAACAAGAACAACAACAACAACAACAACAACAACAACAACAACAACAACAACAACAACAACAACAACAACAACAACAACAACAACAACAACAACACAACAACAACAACAACAACAACAACAACAACAACAACAACAACAACAACAACAACAACAACAACAACAACAACAACAACAACAACAACAACAACAACAACGGCCGGACGTTCTGTTCACGCGCGCCGGGAAAGCACGGTCATAGAAAGTTTACGTTTTCCACTGGCAGGGCCAATAGTTTCGCGCAAAGGGTCTATACAACAGCATTTTAAAACTACCTCTTGTCGGGGGCTTCGAACGTGGTTTTGCACTGCGCAGGGCAGCGAACGAGTACTTGTGTTGGCAGGGCCAGCAGTTCGGAAAGTAGGGTTGCGCGATTCGTTGGCAGGGCCAACATTTCGTGTATGCTCGCAAAGACAAAAAAGGAGGCAAGCAATACCTGTGTTGGCAGGGCCAGCAGTTCGGCAGGCAAGCGGGTTAGAGCGGTTCGTTGGCAGGGCCAACATTTCGTGTATGCTCGCCAAGACCAAAAAAAGGGAGCCAGGGCGGCCGCCGTGGAGCGTGCAAGCAATACCTGTGTCGGCAGGGCCAGCAGTTCGGCAAGTGGGTTGGCAGGGCCAACATGTCGTTTATGCTCGCAAAGACCAAAAAAAGGAGCCAGGGCGGCTGCCGCGGAGCGTGCAAACAAGATAGAAGCAGGCAAACAAACAAACAAGAAAACAAACAATCCATCGAGATACTGGAGCCAGCGGATCCGCGCGGTTTTGTCGCACTCCTGCCCGGCCGACGCAAGGCTCGGCCCCCCACCCTCCGGCAGCCCTGCGATCTTTCCCTCTCCTGTTTCCCCTCGAGCCTGCGTCTGCAAGACCTCGGCGGAGGGGGCGTCCAGAGCCACGGCCCAGCGGAGCGGCGACCCTGCCGCGCGGCTGCAGTCTTCCGCGCGGTCCTTGTTGATCTGGTGTTTGGCGTCGTTGTTGGCAACGACGGCCGCCGCCCACCTGAACTTCTCTTGTCTCAAGCGCAGGTCGCCGGCCACTAATTAACCAACCAACCAACCAAGCAGCCAGGCGTGCGCAGGGAGGCGTGTGCAGTTCTGAGTGGTGCGCGTTGAGCGGGTGTGCTTACCGTGTGGCAGGCATGTGTGCAGCTCTGAGCGGGCGCGCGTGAGCGGGTGTGCTTACCATGTGGCAGGCATGTGTGCAGTGCTGAGCGGGTGCACTTGAGCGGGTGTTCTTACCACTTGGCAGGCATGTGTGCAGTTCTGAGCGGGTGTGCTTACCAAAATGTGTGCAGTGCTGAGCGGGTGCACTTGAGCGGGTGTGTTTACCATTCATTTGGCAGGCATGTGTGCAGTGTGCGCGCCAGCGGATGTTCTTACGATTTGGCAGGCGTGGATAGTGAGCGGGTGTGCTTACTGTTTGGAAGGCATGTGTGCAGTTCTGCGCGGATGCACTTGAGCGGGTGTCCATTTGGCAGGCATGTGTGCAGTGCTGTGCGTGCGCGTGAGCGGGTGTTCTTACCATTCGGCAAGCGTGGATACAGTGCTGACGGGGTGCGCGTGAGCGGGTGCTTACCATTTGGCAGGCATGTGTGCAGTTCTGAGCGGGTGCACTTGAGCGGGTGTGCTTAGCATGGCTTCGCGAAGCGACGCGCCTGTGCAGTCAAAGTTCATGTTTTTGAGCGGCCGTTGCTGAATCTCCCACGCAGGCCGCACGAAAATGACCTCGCGCATGTCGCGAAAACAGGCGATCGCATGGTTTCGCGAATCGACGCGCCTGTGCAGTCAAAGTGCATTTTTTGATCGGCGGTGGCTGATCCCCCACGCAGGCCACACGAAATTGACCTCGGACATGTCGCTGAAACGCGCGTGAACAGAACGTCGGAGCCAACAACAGCAACAACAACAACCAACTACCACAACAACAACAGCAACAACAACAGCAACAGCAACAACAGCAACAGCAAAAGCAACAGCAACAGCAACAGCAACAACAACAACCAACAACCGCAACAACAACAGCAACAGCAACAGCAACAGCAACAGCAACAGCAACAGCAACAGCAACAGCAACAGCAACAGCAAGAGCAACAGCAGCAGCAACAGCAACAGCAACAGCAACAGCAACAGCAACAACACCGCCAGCAGCAGCAGCAGCAACACCACCACCACCACCACCAACAACAACAACTACAACAACACCAGCAGCAGCAGCAACAACACCACCACCAGCAGCAGCAGCAACGGCAGCAGCAGCAGGAGCAGCAGCAGCAGCAACAGCAACAGCAACAGCAACAACAACACCAGCAGCAGCAGCAACACCACCACCACCACCACCACCACCAACAACAACAACAACTACAACTACAACAACACCAGCAGCAGCAGCAGCAACAACTGCAACACAGGAGCAGCAGCAGCAGCAGCAGCAACAGCAACAGCAACAGCAACAGCAACAGCAACAGCAACAACAACAGCAGCAGCAACAGCAACAACAACAACAACAGCAACAGCAACAGCAACAGCAACAGCAACAGCAACAGCAGCAACAACACCAACACCAACACCAACACCAACACCAACACCAACACCAACAACACCACCGCCAACAACACCAACAACAACACCAACAACACCAGCAACACCAACAACACCAACAACACCAACAACACCAACAACACCAACAACACCAACAACACCAACGACACGAACAACACCAACAACACCAACAACACCAACACCACCAACACCACCAACACCAACACCAACACCAACACCACCGCCACCAACAACAACAACACCAACAACACCAATAACACCAACAAAACCAACAACACCAACAACACCAACAACACCAACAACAACAACACCAACGACACCAACAACACCAACAACACCAACAACACCAACACCACCAACACCACCAACACCAACACCAACACCACCGCCACCAACAACAACAACAACAATAACAACATGTTTTGATATCATGTGTATGGTTCCTTGATTTTATCGCCTGTGGTTCCCCCCCCTACGGTTTCCCCATCTGTGGTTCCTTTTTTTTTGGGGGGACACCACCCATGTCTCCACCGGCAGGAGGGCCAGCAGCATTCCAACTTGCTGGTGGCCACTGTGTCGAAGCTGCTGCACGGCTTGAGGGCCGGCGAAGGACGGGTGGAACGTTGACAAGTCACTTACCCTCCATCCAACGAACATGGCAACTCACAGGGGCTCCCCGCAAAAGGACATTAATCTTCCACGTGCCTCTCCACAGGTGCCATGTTAGTTGGAGGAAGGGTAGTTGCTTGCCAACCATTCCTAGGTCCCCAAGTAGTGCCCTTTTACCAACTTTTTTGTGGGAGGGTTCCCCTACTATAATAGAGCTTTGACAAGTCACTCACCCTCCCTCCCTACTAACATGGCTGTGGTTGTCAAAACCGTTTTGGATCCCATTTTGGTTGGTAGGTGACTTCACCACCCATTTTAGTCGGGATTTTAGTGGGGATTGGGATGTTCACTGGGGGTACGGGATGTTGAGCCATGGTCACATGGCAACTGATAATCTGATGGGGCTCCCCTCAAAAGGAAATGAATCTTCCAGGTACCTCCCCACAGGTGCCATGTTAGTTGGAGGAAGGGTAGTTGTTTGCTTGCCAACCATTTGGGACCTCGAAATTTGATGACTGACATATACCTCTTTGCTGTCTACTTGCGAGCACCCAGATGTGTTGTTTCCCATGCAGGAGCTGCGAGCTTTGCTGCCGACTGCTTGCTCCAAGCGCACACCACTCCACTTCCGCGGCTGTTCTTGGTGGAGCTGACACAGTACCTAGGCTTGAGAGGTGGCTGTGGGTCAAAACCAATGGTACCATTTTGGGGTTGGTGCGCCACCCATTTTAGTCTATTCTACTGGGGATTGGGATGTCCACTGGGGGTACGGGATTTTGACCCATGGCCAGGTGATAGGGTGCTTCTCAAACCATGCCAGTAGGGTCCGCCCGTTTCCCCGTGGCTCCCTTTAAAACCCGCCAAAAAGGGGTCGATGTGTGGGCAAGTGTGAGGGATCACCAGTTCCGGTGAGAATTGGTGTGGCAGTGGCAGCGAAGGAATCTGTGCTCAGCTTTAGTTCCTAGGTAATCATGGCAATCATGGCTGACTGACGGCCAAAGCGTCTTACGCCTTCCGAGCCTCGCCGCTTGAGGCACTGCACACCGCAAGAGCTTTCCTCGCAGGGTGCCTTCCAAAGGCGCGAACCGGAGAGGGTTTTTTGCGATCGCAGAAGCGCTTATGTGGCTTCGATGGGAAGAGTGTGGATCAAAAATAGGTACCCAGAATGGAACCCTGGTAAATGGAAACAAACACTAAAACCTGCCGTCCCCTGGTGATTCAATTTTGAGTTCGAATGTCGCACGCCAGGTCTCTGGCAGGCTTCCTGGTGGCCCTATCGGAGCGCCTGCCCCATGCCGCTGGGTTGAACTCAATCGGTGTGAGTTGGGCGAGGGGCCTCCTGGGTTTGGTGGCTGTAAAGGTCGGAGCCATTGTCAGTCGCAACTCCAGACAGGTGGTCTTGGCCAACATCAGCGTGCTGCTGCCATTGCTGGACGTAGACTGCTATCCCATTCGGCAGGCCAAAGCGGCGCAATTTGTGCTTTTCGGGATTTCAACGTCGCTGGTGTCAACTCCTATCATAGCTTCCAAGCGGGTCAGTCCATTCCCATGGCTAGGCCATCGTAGAGAGCATCGGCCAGCTGCTTGCTGCAGAAGGCGGCCGCTTGTTGATGGGGAGGTTGGTGAATTTCCCCGCACAACTTAAGCTATACCTTGCTTTGTCAGCTAAAGCAAAAGTAGATGGGACCATTTCGCCATGTTGCAATGGGTCAAACATACGTACCGGTGGTTAAATTTTGACCCATACGCATGTGTTCATCATTTTCCCTAAAAGGAAAGGAATATTTGGCATCTGCTTTTACCCGCCGCGGAGGGTTGCTCCGCCAGGCAAGGCGCTGCCGAGCGGCGCCCACAACGCGGAAGAGCAACAGCCGGAGGGCGAGGGAGAGGACGAGTCCGGGGGCCGGGGTAAGTGAAACTGAGCTGTTGAAATCCGTCGAACCGTTCTTTGCATGGCTGTTGAAATCAGTCAAACCGTTCTTTGCATGGCTGTTGAAATCAGTCGAACCGTTCCTTGCATGGCTCGAAAAAGAAATGAAAAGGAGATCTGCATTTGCAGAACCCAAGGAGCCACTCTGTGCCCATACCTTCCCTGCCAGTCTCATACTCAAGGATTTGTGGTGACCCTATGGGGTAGTTGTACTTTGTTGAGGTGGTTCGAGATGAAGTGGCCCATCGGGGTGTCAGCTGTCATGCTTCGTGAAGATATGCGATTGGGGTTGGATCCGACTCGGAGGGGATTGATGGCACTGGCCGTTGGTCGTGCGTGGATTCATTTGTTGCACTTGCTTTTCTGGCGGCACAGGCAGTCCTTCCGAGCAACAGCGGCACCTTCACCCTGGCTCCGGCGACCAAGAATGACCTGCTTGCTGCCGGCAGTTGGAACATGAATGTGCGGCGAGGTTTTTCGAGTTGCCGTTTTTCGATGATAGCCGGGAAAAAAGAAGAAGAATAAAAACGGCACGCTGTCGAGGTTAGAGACGCTCTTCACAAGGTTCCTTGACAAGAGCGTCTGGGTCCGCTACCGCGTTCTGCAGACCCTGAACAGCCTGGCCTCGAATGGCAGGAGCTTGCCTAGGCCGGGATGCCTACGCTTGGGAGAGGCGCAAGGTTTATCACGAAAGGTAGCCTCAAGAAGGGTAGCCTCAAGAAGGCTAGCTGGGAAATTCCCCCCCCTTTGACTCCTCTGGCCCCGCTGCCTGATTGGCAGCTTCGCTCCTTTTGCCGGTCTTCTCGCCGCTCTTGTTTGCTCGCTTCGCTTCACCCTTCGGTCCTCTTTTCGCACCGTTTTGCTTCTGTGTTTCAAGGCCGGTCCTCCCAGTCAAGTCGTGGTGGAAGTTGATATGCGACACTCAGTGCACGTTTGCTCCATAGTGGGCTATGCACAATCATACGGTGCTGGGGGGTACCTCGGTTTTAGCGCCAACACCTCCAGACTTTGTCTTTGGGACGTTCCATTGTTTAGGGGAATATGGTATCCTACCTTTCGTGTCTCCCCTTCTCAAGTCCGACGCAAGAAACATTATGTCGGGCATCTTTCCATGAAGACCTGGCGTAAATATATATATATATATATATATTTTGGCAGCTTTCCCAGCTCCAAGAGAGAACATACAATTTCTTTGCTCCAGGTTGCCAGTCTTTGTTGGAGTCTACGATCCTGGTTCGGCTGTTTGCCAGGGAGCTCTGGCCGCGCGTGCTGGACTTGGCCATCCGGCGGATGCAAGATACCGCCAGCATGTCCAGGACTGCGCTCCGCGTTCCGTTTGGCATGGCAACCTCAGCCCCGGGAATAAAGTTGGGGCCTGGCTCAAAGTTGTAATCGGCCAGGGCAAACTGCAGGTTAAGGTGTCACTTTGGTCTCCATGTTTCTGAGCCACAGCCAAATGGACTCCTCGAGAAGTGTCGGGAGGGTGACCTGAGCGTTTTTTCTCTTCAAATGTGCAAGCAGGTCAGTGGGCACCTCAGAACTTCGAACAACCAATCTGACACCATGAACATGTTTATGGGCCCCGACTTGGAGTGGACTCATTGGCTGAGCTTGCTTTGGCAAGTTGCTCAACCTTCTCCCTCCAATAAGGAGGTGCTTTGCGGATGTGAACAGCTGCATTTTGCCGTGGTCTAGGGGTGACATGCATGCAGTCTTGAAGTCCTGGTTTGAAGGGGGCCGGCCCGGGCAACATCCTTCGCCCCACAAAACAACCCTCAGTTGTCCAACTCCGATGTGCGTTCCAGACTTTGGCCGACTTTTGGGCAAGTTCCTGCGAAGGTGGCCGTCTTGGGGCCGGAGAGCAGCTCAGTTTTTTACATCCCCCCCACTGATTTGCGCGTTTGCTGGCAAAAGCCGGCAACAAAAACAACAACACCGGCAACCAAACAAAGCCGGCAACAAACAAACACCGGCCGAACAAACAAGCGCCTGGGACAGAAAAAAGAGCAACATTCGCAAAAGCAGCCGACACCGACACACCCCTGAGAAAGAAAGGAGAAACGCAGAAGCCGGCAGGAAGGCGGCCATGCAGCTGGTGCGGAAGCTGGTGGAGTTCCACCCCTACGGCCCCGCGCTGAAAGGCTCCGGGGACGAGAGCGCCAAGGCGGAGAAGCTGCTGAAAGAAATCCAGGCGCTCGCGCGCGCGCGGGAGGGGGGGATTTGGGGGCTGGGGGGAAGGGAGGCCGCAAGGGGCTGAAAAAAGAGAGGGATTTTTGTGAAGCAAAAGGGGGCCAGAGCAACCCCTTCGAAACAAGAACTCCTTTGAACATTTCTTTGCAGCAACTTGGCTGTGAGTCAACATTGGCAACCCCCAAGCAATTGGCGACCATGAAACCCCATTTGAAGATCATGCTTAGCTACACAAGCAGACATTCCCAATCGCCTGGCAGGTCTAAGCCCCTTGTACCAACAAGTTTTTCATTGTTGTTTTGGTAGAAAAACAGATGGCGATTCCTGGTTTACCTGGTGGTTTAATCATCTACCAGGAAAACCCATCTATTTTTACTAAAAGGACACCTATGACAGGGGCCCTTTCGTTTGTTCAGAAACAATTTTGTCGCCCCAGCCCCAATCGAAATGACAGGTCTACGCCAACTCCTTGTACAAACAATTGCTTCAACAACCTTCCTTTGGTTTTCCTTAGCGCATAGGCCCATTCTTCGTAAAATCCCATCTTGTCGCCAGGACCGCCTGAACAAGCTGAAGGCCGAGGAGTTGGCCGAGCTCGAGGGCGGAGCGGACGGAGCCGACGACGAGGCCCTGGAGCAGCCGGAGAAGCGGCGCCGGTGCAAGGGGAAGACCGACGCCCTGTCTCGAAACGGAGATGATTTGATGGTTTAGACTCTGTGTGTTCGCCTTTGATCTATGCGTATGCATACATGTATATAGTTTATTTCAAGTGTGTGTAATGTACTGTACTGTAATGCAATGCCGTGTAACGTAAGATAAAGCAGCGCAACGTAAAGTAATTTAATAACATGTAACGTAGTGTAATGTAATATGATGTATGTACTGTATTGTATTGTAAGGTATAGCATCATGTAGTATAGTATTAAAAACAATGTATGTATGTAGGTAGTGATGTAATGTAATGTAATGTCATGTATTGCAATGCAATGAAATCCAATGCAATGCAATGTACTGTAATGTATGTATGTGTGAAGTGTATGTATATGTGTATGTATGTACGTATGTATGTATGTATGTACATATGTACGTACGTACATACGTACGTATGTACGTATGTATGTATGTATGTATGTATGTAATGTAATGTAATGTAATGGAATGGAATGTAATGTAATGTAATGTAATGTAATGTAATGTAATGTAATGTAATGTAATGTAATGTAATGTATGTAAGGTATGTAATGTAATGTAATGTAATGTAATGTAATGTAATGTAATGTAATGTATGTATGTATGTATGTATGTATGTATGTATGTATGTGTGCAATGTATGTATGTATGTAAGTATGTATGTAATGTATGTATGTATGTATGTATGAGGTATGTATGTAATGTATGTATGTATGTATGTATGTATGTATGTATGTATGTATGTATGTATGTATGTAATGTATGTATGTATGTATGTATGTATGTAATGTATGTATGTATGTAATGTATGTATGTATGTATGTATGTATGTATGTATGTATGTATGTATGTATGTATGTATGTATGTATGTATGTATGTATGTATGTATGTATGTATGTATGTATGTATGTATGTATGTATGTATGTATGTATGTATGTATGTATGTATGTATGTATGTATGTATGTATGTATGTATGTGTGTATGTATGTATGCATGTATGTATGCATGTATGTATGTATGTATGTATGTATATGTATGTATGTATGTATGTATGCATGTATGTATGTATGTATGTGTATGTATGTATGTATGTATGTATGTATGTATGTATGTATGTATGTATGTATGTATGTATGTATGTATGTATGTATGTATGTATGTATGTATGTATGTATGTATGTATGTATGTATGTATGTATGTATGTATGTATGTATGTATGTATGTATGTATGTATGTATGTATGTATGTATGTATGTATGTATGTATGTATGTATGTATGTATGTATGTATGTATGTATGTATGTATGTATGTATGTATGTATGTATGTATGTATGT